CAGTGTCATTTGATCTATTTCTTGGGAAGATGGGTGGATGGATGGATGGAGATATATATATATATATATATATATATATATATATATATATATATATATATATATATATATAATTATTTTTAATATAGCCTTTTTCAATACCAAACTTTCAATACCAAACAAAAATGAACTACAATAAAATTGCTGGCACACTAAATTCCAATTCTCCTCAATGGGACTTGAACTCGCCAACTGATCTCCCTTACACTACACCAAACAAGGTGCTTTACTTGATTTGGGAGGGGGGAATAAAAGCAGTAAAACAATAAAACTTTGAACATTACAACACAAAGAGAAAATAAATAATGTTACAGCAATTGCGGAATGCCATCTGCTGGATTCGAACCCGCCGCAACGACCAACCAGTAGGTGTCAAACCATGACTAATGAGTGCAAGCCTTGGCGCTCAGGGACACCCATCAGTATGTGATTGTGAGGCCACAGCACATACGTTTTAGACTGGGTGGGATTCTTATACCCAACAGGAGTCTTCTGCCCGCCTTCTCATTAGAATATGCATAATTTGTGTTTCAGGCACTAGTTAACTAGTGAGCTGCTGCACTGCCACACATGTAAAGTGGTGAAATTTCAATTGTTCCACTAGTTAACTAGTGGACAAAAATGGTCAGCTTGTATGTGTTTTTAGATGTAACTAGTTAACTAGTGAGCAAATCAACTAGTGAGGTGCAGATATGCTCACTAGTTAACTAGTGAGGTACTAGTGAGGTGCAGATATGCTCACTAGTTAACTAGTGAGCATATCTGCACCTCACTAGTTAACTAGTGAGCAAATCCGCACCTCACTAGTTAACTAGTGAGCAAATCTGCACCTCACTAGTTAACTAGTGAGCAAATCTGCACCTCACTAGTTAACTAGTGAGCAAATCCGCACCTCACTAGTTAACCAGTGAGCATATCTGCACCTCACTAGTTAACTAGTAAGCAAATCTGCACATCACTAGTTAACTAGTGAGCATATCTGCACCTCACTAGTTAACTAGTGAGCAAATCCGCACCCTACTAGTTAACTATTTGGTGTTTTGGGGCCCACTAGTTAACTAGTGAGCATATCTGCACTTTACAAGTTAACTAGTGATGCTTTTTTGCACCTTACTAGTTAACTAGTGGGCGCTTAAGGGTGCACTAGTTAACTAGTGAGCAAATCTGCACCTCACTAGTTAACTAGTGAGCATATCCGCACCTTACTAGTTAACTTGTGGGCGTTTTGGGGCCCACTAGTGAACTAGTGACACTTATTTTGCACCTCACTAGTTAACTAGTGGACATTTGTACCCTCTCTAGTTAACTAGTGAGCAGTTCCGCCTTCACAAGTTTACATGTAAGTGTCACACTGAAGCCACTACTAGTTCACTAGCTGAGGTTCCTCTGGCCAGCATGTTAACTTGTGTGCCGCATGCAAATGTTTGGGGTGGGATTTTGCAAAATTCCACACTGTGATTGGTTGTCATATTTTATTTTAACATAGTGAGCCAATAGAAAGCCTCAATTTGAGAAATTCTCTGCCTCCTAATTAGAATTCTGTGCAACTAGCTAGCTAGTGTGAATGTAGGCTTGAACTAGTTTACTAGTATACATTTATGTCCTCACTAGTTAACTAGTTTGGACAATGGATGCATCAACTAGGTAACTAGTGAGCCTGCTACAATCAACTAGCTAGCTAGTGAGTCATTAATGGTTCACTAGTTAACTAGTGGCACTGACCTACTCCAACTACTTAACTAGTTAGGAGTTTTGCCTTCACTAGTGAACATGTGGACACTTTGAACTGTCACTAGTTAACTAGTGAGACACAAAAACCTTCAACTAGCTGACTGGTATGCATTTTAGCCCTTACTAGTTAACTAGTGAGCCATTTTTGTGTCACCTAGTTAACTAGGAAGCCAAAATGTGTTCACTTGTCAACTAGTGGGCATTTCTTCTGTCACTAGTTAACTGGTGTGCACATTTTGGCCATCACTAGTTAACTAGTGAGACACAAAAACTTTCAACTAGCTGACTGGTATGCATTTTGGCCTTTACTAGTTAACTAGTGAGCCATTTTTGTGTCACCTAGTTAACTAGTGAAGCCAAAATGTGTTCACTAGTTAACTAGTGAACATTTCCGTCTCCCACTAGTTAACTGGTGGGCTCATTTCGACCCTGACTAGTTAACTAGTGAGACACAAATACCTTCAACTAGCTGACTGGTATGCATTTTGGCCTTTACTAGTTAACTAATGAGCCATTTTTGTGTCAACTAGTTAACTAGTGAAGGTCAAAATGTGTTCACTAGTTAACTAGCGTGTACAGTTTGACCCTCACTAGTTAACTAGTTGACCTGTTGACAAGATATCAGAATTAATGCTCAAGCGGCTGGCCAAATTGGGCAAAGTTAACAAGTGGGATTTTTACATTCAGTAGTCAGCTAGTACAAGTTTTTGTACCTTACTAGTTGACTAGTAAAAACTAAATGTGTTTTAACTAGTTAACTAGTGGACATTGATCTGTCCACTAGTTAACTAGTGAACACACTGAGCAATACTAGTTAACTAGTAAGATATGAAACATTTTAACTAGTTAACTAGAGAGAATTTAGGCCTTACTAGTTAACTAGTTGACTTTTAGGCTGTCACTATTTAACTAGTTGACACAAACATGTCTAACTAGTTAACTAGTGGACAGAAATGGCTTACATGTTCATGACAATGCTGGCTGATATCCTGATATCAGAATAAATGCTCATTTGGCTTGCCATACATGAGCTTTGGGTAATGACCAAAAGAACAAGATCGTACACACAAGTTACCAAAAGAGGTTTTTCTGCTGGGTGACTGGGCTCAGAGTTGGAGATGGGATGAGGATCTCAGACATCCAGGAAGGAATCTGAAGTGATTTTTAAGGTATGCGGTCGGGATACCTCCTGGGGGTGTGTTTAGTGAATATCCTATAGGCAGGAGGCCTCAGAGTCAACCCAGGATCTACTGAAAAGATTATTTCTCTAGGCTAGCCTGGGAAAACTTTGGGATCTCATTGCTGGAAGTGGCCTGCTAGGGCTCCTTTCACTGTGACTTAGACCAATGTAGAGGATGTCTAGAAAGGAGGATATAAATTGTTCGATGAGTCTGATTTCAATGTTCATGTAAAACCAAGCAATCATTACTGAAACTTTCTAATTCAGAGATAAACAATAAAGTTTTATCTTTAAATATTTCAAGCCCTCATGTTAAACCTTAATGTCCTGAAAATGGCTAATTAAAACAATCCTGAGTTATTCAAACCTCCAGCTTTACAAAACTACATTCAGGTCAGACCTCCAACATTAAGCTAGAATTTTCTTTTACTGTATGAATGCAGCAGGTGCACAGTCTCCCTACCCGTAGACAGTGCAAACATCAGGAGTTTCAGCTATGAACAGATGTGGTTTCTGCTTTGAATCAGTTAAAAGGTGGGTGATGCAGCAGGTGCTATCACAAAATGATGCCTAGTAAATCAGCCCGTCATTTATCATAGAGAAACCAGAACAGAACACATTGTATTGTTAAATTAACCACTCCCAACTCTTTCATTCAGAACACAGTGATCAGTGGAAAAACCTGCTACAATTACTTCAATCTTCAAGTGAATCCAAGAGTTTTGGATCAGTGGTAAAACTTCTGATCCCATAAGGTTCTGTGCTGATGGCTTTACTGTTCCTCCTCCATCTGCTCCCCCTCCAGCACACCCTGAGCTCTTGTAAAAGAATCCCTTAATGCAGATAACCTCCAAATGTACATTTACACAGCTAACCCAGATAAGTAGAGTTAACTTAAAGGGAGACTAAACAATTTTGGCTTTGATTCATCACCCCCTAGTGTCTCCTAAACGTCTCCCAGCCTTTCCTTTGTGTCTAGAGGGGTGATTCATCACGCGCAGAAAGTTTATCTTCAGTGCATCTCCCGGGTCTGTGTGGGGGGAATCTTGTAGGCGTGGTGCTAGAATTTCATCTGTGGCGCAGCACCACGCCTGAGCCTATGTAGGGGAAACACTGGGAACATTGCTAAGCTGAGTCCCATTCTGTCCCGCTCTGAACTTGAGACAGTCATCCACACCTTCATCTCCTCACACTTCGACTGCTGCAACTCTCTTTTCACTTGTCTGAAAACCTCCCTGAACGGTCTACAGGTGGTTCAGAACGCTTGTGCTCAGCTTCTGACCAAGTCCTCCAAACACACGTTTTGTCCCCGCTATATAAATAATACAGGTGCTTTTTCATCTGCTCTTTTTAGCATAATTCTGATACACGACCAAAGTGGTATTCTCTCTTTATTTTGTTGTTGTTGTAAAGAGACTTGTGATTTGTATCTTGAGAGGCGCTATATAAAAATGTTTGTTTTTCTAGAGACTCATTCGGTTATTATATATTGTCAGGGTCCTTATGGCTGCTTGAGATACTTAAATGCTTGAACTCGAGAATGATATTAGAACGTTTAAACCTGGTAATTTTCTTCAGACATCTTTTTTGATTAAACATGTCCAGTTATTCCATTCAGAAGTTAATGATAAAGAAAATGAAAGTACAAATAACGCACCTGTGAAAATACTTATTGAAAACATTGTTTCAGATAATTATGGTACATTTGATTTAATTTCACTTTATTAGTTTCCATAAAGTCACAAGTAAGAACCTTCAGCTGTTCATGGGAATGGAAACCAGTTTTGAGACTTCAAGGATGTTTGTGAATCACCAGATATGTTTTTTATTAAGTGGTGATAAAGTCTCTGACACACACACACACACACACACACACACACACACACACACACACACACACACACACACACACACACACACACACACACACACACACACACACACACACACACACACACACACACACACACACACACACACACACACACACACACACACACACACACAGAGCCTGAATGCCTAATGAGTTTATAAATATTTTCGTTAACAGGGCGGTTCATCTCTAGACCTGTCCCCTTCTGACAGCTGTGGGTCTGGTGGGACCTACATGTGGGATGAGGAGGGTCTGGAGCCTCTAGGGGGCACTGCAACAACGGCCTCCATCCACACCAACAGCAACACCACCCACCACATTGGGAGCTTTGACTCTGACATCAACAGCGTTGTGAGTTCATTTCTATTCTTCCACGTTTTTTGTTATTCTCTTGAAGAGCTCGTCACCTTTCACTGCAGCGTCAAACATTAAATAGAATTTTACAGAAAGAAGGTGACGTTGGTTATATTTTAACTGGCTACATCGTATTTAGTCAGCCTAGCTCTTCTGAACGTTCGTCATCAGGCTCTCGTCAAATTTTTAGCAGTACTGCGATAACAGTTTTATGTTTCTGTGCTTTGTTTTCTGACATGTTTGTCTCTGTTTTCTACACATTGGTTTCAGCTGTTGTAAACAATTCTCTATTTGAAAATTTTTAATTATGAACAAGCTCAAGTAATCTGTATAGATGTAGAGTAATATTTAACATGTCAAATGCAGCAGAAAATAAATATCAGTGTAAAAAAAACCCAAACATTTCATTTCTGACATGCTCTCTCCTTCCTGTAGTCAGACTCCCCCAGCAGGGGGTGCTGCTGCACAGAGGATTAAAGCATTTTAAAAAATGCAACCATCTGAGGGTAAACGTTTGCTTTTCGGGGCCATCTGTAAGATTTAGTAAATTACTCCACTGATTTTGTGACATCATGTTTGTTCAGCTTCACAATAGTATAATGTTATAATAATAGAATAATAATATAAAGCTCAACAGGACAGGAAGGTTGAAGTTTAGAATTGCAGCTATTCTGTCCTCTGCTTCACTGAGCTCCAGAAAGCAGTAGCAATAAAAACTAGTCATAGTTTGCTTCCAATAGTTGGGCCAGGAAGCCTGTTCTCTCTATGTAAAGTAGTTGATAGGTGAGATATTTTGTTTTCTAATTTACTTAATTTAAAGTCTTTCAGCTGCTTTAGCTCATATCTAAAAACTTATCTCAGTTACCAGTTTGTCATCAGTGATGTAAAAAAGCATTTATTAATGATCTAACGTTTTAAATCCATCATATATCAAATGTTAAGACTTTTTAGCTTTAATGTAAAAATAAAGTTAACCTTCTGGTACATTTATATAATACACACCAGAAGCTTCATTAGCTGCTCCAGTTCCGATGGAAGCTCTCTGGCCCCCTCTGGTGTCCAGTCGAGTAAATGCAACCCAGGTAAACCATTGTTTGCGGGAGGATCATCAACATATGTGCTTATATATAGACATATATGGGGAGGATGCAGGATTTAGTGTTACTGTTCTCTTTAATGTTTAAACTGATTATAACATTTATAGAGTTTGAAACATTTCACAAGCCTTCAGGCTACTGATTGGAAGTAAGTTTTAGAGATGTACTTTGGTCAACTACAGTGTCCAAAAACCAGAATCACCATTGTTTCCATTTTTACAGTTTTACTTTCATTTACCTGGTCAACAAAGCAACAGAGCCTGATTTTTACTTTGAACTTTTTACCTGAACAGGTGAAAACCTGAATCCATTCCAATGAGCCATAAATGGCAACTAGACCTGGTGCTTCTGTTTAAATCCAGTTGACTCAAATGTGCTGCAGATCTTACTCTTTTAAAGCAGGAATAATGTGTCAACATCTGTGTTAATGTCAGGAACTGTACTTGTAAAACAAATCTCTGGACATTGTGATTTTTACAAGAGTTTGTACTAAGGTGCAGAGAGAGTGGAAACATGAATGTGATGAAACAGGAGTGGAAGGAGAGTATAACTCTTATAAGCAATCTACTTCAACACATCCAGAGTTATTCTGATCAGATCTCATCAACTCAAGCTGGTTACTGTTAATATTACATTTAAAATCAGCTGAAACCAGCTCTTTTTGTCGCATTCATTGCATCTACTGTAAACGAGGCTGATTTCCATTTCCATCAAGCGTTAAGAGCTGAGGTCTGATAAATGATCCTGATAGAACAATTTTAAACTGCAGCAGAAGGAGGATAACCAGGTTCAAATCCAGGCTTAGACCTTCACTAGGGTGGAGTTAATGCACCTTCTGAGTACTGTTGAAAGGCTGTTAATGAGCTCCATGTCTCAGTTTGCCCTCTGTGTTAATGAGCTGTGAGAGAATGATTGATCCAAATGAGCTCAGGCCGTTAATGATCTGAGGACATTAACGAGCTCTCGACTGGTTTCTGAAGTCTTTCTCTTTGAGCTTATACCAAATTGTCTGTTTGTAGTTAAAGCTTTGATTTAACCACCAGGGGTCAGTGTTGCTCTGTTGTTGGGATTAGATCAGGATGCGGCAGTAGAGAGGTCGGGTAAATGTTAAAATAACGGGAAGAGAAACCGATTCAGCTGGAGAATACTGGTTAAAAAGATCTAACAATCGTTTGTTCTATGGTGTGGGCAGTGGGGCTGTAAAGTGGAGTTTGCTGTTTAATATTTTAGGTCTGTCAAACTTTTTCAAACATATTTTTTCTGTTCTAGGACATTTTAAACAACTTGGACTCTTGTGATCTGGCTGACGATGACCTCATGCTGGATTCTGACTTACCAGATGATTCGTCGTTGCACAGCGGTACGTTTGAGTGTGCAGATGTCACAAACTTGCATAAAGTAAATACTGACCCAAACAGGGTTTTAAAGACCTCAGAAGAGAATTGTTGCTGCATAATACCTGTTGGAACAACGATCTACTTGCTGATGCAGGTTTTGGCAGATTTTCATCAATTGCAAAGTATAGAAATAAACAGAGGGCTGCACAGTGGCACAGTGGTTAGAGCTGTTGCCTTGCAGCAAGAAGGTCCTGGGTTCGCTTCCCAGCCTGGGGTCTTTCTGCATGGAGGTTGCATGTTCTCCCTGTGCATGCATGGGTTCTCTCTGGGTATTCCGGCTTCCTCCCACAGTCCAAAAACATGACTGTTACCCCGGCTTTCCACAGCAGCCGTCAGCAGCACGTTACTGCAGCAGCACGTCATAGCTGCTGATAGGAACGGCTGTGGTCAACAGAACCTTTTCCACAGGGGCCGTCAGCAGCGCGAGTCGGCCGCGTCTCAGGAGCAGCATGTCGCGGCCTTTACGCGCCGGTTCTATTTCCTACGCGCGACGCCTCTGAAACGGGTCAAGTTCGACATTTTTGGGGAAGGAAAGACAGGAAATCGGACGCGGAAATGGAGAGAAGCTCCCGAGATTTTCAGAATAAAGAACGTACTGCCTTCCGGTCGCTTTACTTTAAAAAAGGTTACTAACTGTGCGGCCCCATGAGAAGTTATCACCTAGCTAGCGGTCTCCTTTGTTTTTCAGGTCCGTATTGGCGATTATAAAACGGACAGAATATAAAAACACAACCCTTTTGGAGCCATGTTGTAGTTTTCTCCTGCTTGTTGTTGTGTTTACTGACGAAGTCACTCGTGTGACTTCGTGCCCTGTCGATGACAGCTGCTCCTCTGCTGCGTCGCGTCTCGTGGGAAGGGCCAAGCAGCAGCTAGACGTGCTGCTGCAGTAACGTGCTGCTGACGGCTCCCGTGGAAACCCGGGGTTAGGTTAATTGGTCTGTCTAAATTGTCCTTAGGTGTGTGTGTGTGTGTGTGTGCGTGCACATAATTGTGTGTCTCAGTGTTGCCCTGTGATGGACTGGCTCTCTGTCCAGGGTATATCCTGCCTGATTGCCCATTGACCGCTGGAGATAGGCACCAGCCCCCCCCCCCCCCCCCCCCCCCCCGACTCTACGTGGACAAGCGGGTTCAGACAATGGATGGATGGATGGATAAATTAACAAAATTTATGTATTTTTTAAATTGCTGATGAACTTGGAAATTCTGATTCTGGAAGTAAGATTCTCTATAAGCAGAATGAAGTAGCTCTTAGCAGAAGTACGTAACCTCATGAGGACAAATGATTATTTTTTGTTTTGGTTTTTACCTTTCCTTAGCAGTGGTGCGTTTATGGACACCCCTGAAAAATCTGATTACAGACTATGATGTATAAAAGTTTTATCGGATAGTTACAAAACAATCAGTCAGGGATGGGAATCCGCCAATATTCAGCAAGACTGACCAAATCTAATCTATGAAACACCACAATCATAATTTTTTATGCATGAATGCACTACCACCGTGTGCTAATTCATGCTAGCAACAATAATTTGTATGTAGAAGGTGTTTACGCCACATTCTTGATTTTCAGCTATTAAAAAACAGATTGTGTTTATTTTATTTGACAAAAATCAGAATAAACCAAAACCTGGATCGGCAGATCAAAGGTGTGGATCACACAGAAACTATTATAGCTCCAAACCAGAATAGGTGCATCTCTAGTATTTATTCCTGTTGGTGTTGAAAGGGTTTTTGAAATGGAAGCGGAGGAGCTGGTTTCATTAAATATCAGAATATCTGCTGCTTGTGCATTAATTATTGGATCACATCAAGAACAATTCAGTGAATTATTTTGTATATTACAACAAATTAGCATTAGGTCAGTGTTGCTTCTCTGTTTCAAAGTTCTTTAATTTCTTCCCAATGCTCATTTTTCTGTTACTTCAACAATATAAATCGTGAACAGTTCAGGACCAGTGATTCACTAAACCCCTTGATCAGGAACTTTTTATTTAAATTTGAAATGTGAATGTGTGTGAAGTTTATTGTAAGTGTGATATGTTTGAAACAGATCAGCACAAGTTTTCAAGTTTACTTAAACCAGTGAGGTGACCTAACTTAAACAGTAGCCAGAAGCTGCAGAGTAAAGGGCGGGACAGCTACAGAATGACAAGTGAAGAAAATACCTGAAATTATTCATGGATATTTGTGTTTTATATGTCCGATGGATATTTATTCATTATTTGCATACACACAGCCCTTTTCAGGTCTTTCAAATGAATTGCATTGTTTTAATCTTCACCAAAACAAACCTTTCCCACTGGTTTGGACCTGTTTGACCGTGCTGCTGGTCTGAACCTTGCAGATGGAGATGGGCTGCCCCACATGGCTCAGTGGAGGAAGAGACAGCTCTGCTGGGAAACACAGGATAATGACAATGAAAGGTGAGGAGGAGGTTTGTTTTCTTGCTCCAGGACCTGGGTTATCCTGATATATCTGATGCAGATCCTGGTTGTTGGTATTTATTTGAAATTGTAAAGTTGTAGAAGAATATAAGTTTCCACATAAACATACATTTCTTCAGACTAGTTGTCAGATCTTGGTTTATGACGAACTAATGATATTTAAACAGTGCATGAAGAAGGATTGAGTTTTCTCCTACTGAGGGTGGAGGTCAGCATGGTTCATCTAAAGGGTGAAACCAGTTAAATTTATTTTTATCAAATGCTCATAAATGTATTTGTATGAAAGTCCAACGAGCTGCATCATAACTGTGGGGTTGGCGGTCACAGGGTCAGTGAAATCCATCAGACCAGTTTCCAATCGATTTGAAACTAAAGATTCGTCAGTGGGAGGTGAAGACTTAAACTCTGCTCTTAGAAAGATTTAAACCACAGCTAATCCATAGAATAAAAATTAAAACACAAACACAGCTCTGTGTTTTTTCACTTGAGTCCCTCTGTGTTGGAGCTGCTGTGGTTTCCAGCAGATGGACTGGTCTGCAGCAGTGTTGGTTTCAAGGCTGACCTAAACTTCCAGAATACCTTTAGAAACGCATAAATAAACATTATCAAATATGTAAAAGCTTCTCTAACCTTCACAGTGAGTTAAGGAGTGGTTGTTGGCACCCGAAGCTGGAGCTGGAAGCTTGTTAACAAGGCTGAGCTCGTGTCGGGAATCATTATTTGTGTGTTCTCCTTTAAACCCTTGCATGTTGAACCGTCTGTCTGCAGTGATTTCCAGTGCTACAAACTCACTCCGGATCCAGAAAACACAACGGAAGATAAAAGCGTGGACTTCATCCTTCACGCCAGCCTTAAAAGGTGTTTCTTCATTTCTGTATTAAATTCCTCTTCATTATGAAGTCAGACTGTGTTTATATTTTCAGCTTGTTGTCTTGTTGGCATGTTTTAATAATGATTTAGTGCAGCAGAAGCTGACCTCCCTGCTGTCTGCAGGTCAGGTTGTTTTCCTTCTGGAGCTCTCGGTCTGGGCCTGGATGTGGAGGAACTGGCTGAAGACTGCTCTTCAGTCCGATCACAGCTGGAGTTCCTGCAGAGGTTATTGTTGCAGGTGAGATGAGAAGTTGTGTCTGAATTTAATAAGATTGAGTTGGTCATGCACAAGAATCTGCCAGAGATGTTCAGTTTTTATGTAAGCTTGGTGAGAATCAATCTAAGATTGTTTTAGAACATATTTTCTATATGTATCAGAAACAGAAATTAACTTTTGTTCATCTCTGGCTGCACAGTGGAGTACAAAACATTTTTGTTCATCTCAATAAGTTCAGAGAAAGAGTTAGGGTTAAGGGTTTTCTCTTATGGTAAAATCCTTTGGGTAACCCAGATCTTCAGACGTGTTGAGGAGGACACGTAGTGGTTTTGGGTTAAACTAGAGGGGTTTTTGAATCAAGCATACATAATGTGGCAGAAACTACACAACATTCAGGTCGACATTTAGTTACTTTTGCTTTACAATTGGATTGGGGAAATTATGTCAAGTTTCATTGTGATTATGCACCAATTACAAGTCAGAAACCCTGCAGGGTTTTCTAATTGTTGTCCCCAGGATCCAGGCTAGCTTCTCTTAGCTGTTAGCAACGTATTTTTCTGCAAACACAATTGACAAAGCTCCTCGGATGAGACGTGAAACATCTTCAAGAAACCAAAGAAGTCCAGTTGCCTTCATTTGAACACTTTGGATTGCCGTGACCTGGATGACTGAGAACCTTCACCAGCATACTGCAGCAACACGTTCACTAATGGTGGTGATACAAAACTGGATTCAGAGTCAATAGACGTTTTTTACAACTTGGAACTCAAAAGTTCAGATTTAGAAATACAAATAGAGCGCCCGATCAGTAGATTAGAGATTCAAATTCAGTTTGGATGGATTAAACCAGGGACCTCCAACGCCTCACTCGCGAGCTACCAGTAGCTCACGACGCACTTTAAAGTTGCTCACCTGGAAGCAACCAGCGAGCCTTCCTGCCTGACCTGTAATAAACAATTGGCGGCTTTTAAATTTGATGGCAAGCTTTCCCCATTTTCTGTAATATCTAATCCAAAATTAGCATTTTGTGGAAGTAAAATAAAATTTCATTATTGCACAAATATTCTAACAAAAGTGTTCTAGTGGAAGTATGCAGCTTAATTGCTCAGGTTGCAGCACGTTTCCCCATTTCTGATCTCAGTGGCTGCAGCTGCAGGTGGCTGAAGACGCACTTCTAAAGAAGACGGGGCAATGTCGGTTATACAGACCTGGTTTCAGAAAAACATCCTTAGTAAAATATTCAGAGTGAGTCCTATCTGCAGTAATACCTCATTGTAGCAGTCTCAGGATTGGACTGGAAGGAAAAAAGCGATAAGAGAGCCTCGACTGGTGCAGAGGTTTTTCTTTTCATCTGAAGTTTCTTCTGGTGATGAGGTCAACCATCAGACCGTGAAAACTGTACAAATAGTTGAACGAACAACAATGGTTACAGCAACCAAAAAAATAAAAAATCACACATCTTAATCACAGGAGCAGTAAATCATGTACCTCGCTCTGCTTTCCCAGGGGCTGCAAGTATCCGATCCAATTGGAATGCTGTGTCACGCAATACAGAATCTCCAGGCTGGGCACATAAACCAGCCAACATACATCAGTGCACAGTCAGAATAAACTCAATATTAATGTCCAAACATTTCTTAAACATGTACCTCCATTCTGACGGTTTGTTTGAGTCAAAGTTCCATCTCCTAGCTCAGCCAAGGCGTATTTCCTTGCAGAAAGTTTTTCTTTACCAACACAGCTGCATTTCATATGAACTAACTGGCAACATCTGATTTCACATCGGATCAGTCAGCTACTGATTAGACAACAGTGCCCCCGGCTGGAAATTCTTTAAAGTATTTGAAATAAAACAAACAACAACTGACAGCTACACTCCCACCAAATCATGTATCACACAATTATCTGAACATGATTTCCCATCATAGGATAAAACAGTACACACAAAGAGAGAGAGAGAGCGCAAGTACTTTATCAACCACCCACTATAACTGATGTGAAAGTGATGATTGCAATTGTAACCCTTGTTTCGGGTATTAACCTTACGAGAACAATATCAAATGATCTGGGCCTGGGTCTCGGCTCGTGATAATGAGTTACAGCTTTGTATCCTACTTCTTGCCACCTCCGTTAACTCTCTATAACGTCCGTCTTACTCTTCAAGTTTGGCTTGCTACTCCCACACTAACTGCCATTCTTAGTCCCGCCCCTTACCAAAGGAACAGGGCTCTGATTGGCTCGTGAGTTCTAATACAACGACTGGAAATACAAAGATTGAGTGATAGACAAATGACCGTAAACAGGTTAGGGTACACACAACAGCTTTTTTTTAAAACATGAAACATTATGAACTAAGTTATTATGTTTTAGGCTCTGTACCAGAATAAACTTTATTTTTTAAAATTTTGACAGGGTCACACCGCTACACAATGGTCCATTAACGGTTTTCCAATAAAATCACAAGCTTATGAATAGGCCGCTCAACTATGTGAGGTTTGCGTGTTGTATTTTGCATCTCGAAGCCTCATTCACCAACCTGAAGCCTGATCCTGCGGACCAAACCATCACCGTCTTCTGGTGCTTCCACAACTCGAGCCAGTTGCCACTGATTCCTGGGTAGCACGTCCTCTTTGATGATGACTATATCATCCACTTTAAGATTTCGACGTGGCATAAGCCATTTTTGTCTTGTGGATATATCCATAAGGTACTCTCTCTTCCATCTGCTCCAAAACTGTTCAGTAAGATACTGAACTCTGCACCATTTTTCTCTCTCATACAAGTCTTCTTTTACAAACTGTCCTGGTGAAGGCAGTGCAAACTTCGATTTCATCAAAACTAGATGGTTTGTGGTTAGAGGTCCAGGGAATGTAGGATCATTGATTCCAGCCATGCTCAGTGGTCGACTGTTAACGATGAACGTAGCTTCATAGAATAGAGTCCTTAAAGATGTGTCATCAATCCGACCATGCCACTGAGACATAGTGGCATTGAGGACACCATGGATGGTTAGAATCTGTCTTTCCCATGCACCACCAGCATGACTAGCAGAAGGGGCATTAAATATGAACTCACATTGGTTGTCGGCTAGGAATGTTTCTACAGCATCTGGGTTACATTGCTTAAGAGATTTCTTCAACTAATTTCTGGCCCCAATGAAGTTTGTACCCTGGTCACTGTACAATTTACAAACTGTGCCCCTTATGCTTATAAGACATCTCAAAGCATTAATGAAAGAGTCCGTTGAAAGATCCTCAAGCATCTAAATGTGGACCGCCTGAGAGGAGAGATGTGAAAAGGAGTCCATATCTTTTGATGTTCTCCACAGCCTTGTTTAGTGACAAATGGTCCAAAACAGTCCATTCCACAATACATGAAAGGATCTGAGATCTCTACTCTTTCTTTAGGAAGTTCAGACATGCGCTGTTCTTCCACTGGTCGCCTTAGTTTCTGACATTGTACGCATTTGCTAATTAGCTTAGCAACTTCCTTACTCCCTCCAATTACCCAGAATCCATTTGATCGGATTTCTGTGAGTGTTTGGCCTCTACCTTGGTGACAGATCTCTGCATGGAAATGTTCAATGATCAGTCTTGTAACGTGATGGTGTCTTGGGAGAATGATAGGGTGTTTAAGCTCCTGACAGAGTGTTGACTCCTTCAGTCTTCCCCAACGCGGAGAAGTCCCTGATCAAAAACTGGGTCTATTCTGAAGAGGGGACTTGTACGTGGAAGGCTGTGTCCCACCCTCAACATTTCCATCTCTTTGGGAAAGGCAGTTTGCTGAAGGAGATTTATTATTTGGTTGGCAGCCACTCTGCGTTCATCTACTGTTACAAAATTGTCATTTTGAATCTTACTGGGTCTCAGTCTTTTTATTCTTATGACCACTTTGAGGAGTGTTGACCAGCTTGAAAACCTTGACAAATGGCTAAGGATATCACCTTGCTTATTTGTCAAAGTCGTGAGGACTTGGACTCATTTTATTTTGGGATCTCCAACCAACAGTGCAGTCGAAGGACTGGGTATATGGGGAATGTCGTTATCCCACAAAAACTTCGGACCCAACAGCCAAGAAGTTGACATGATACCTGATGCACTGAGGCCTCTGGAGGCATAATCTGCGGGATTCTGAGTTGTGTCGATGTAGTGCCACTGCTTGGGATCTGTGGTTTGACTTATAAGTTGCACACGATTAGCAATAAAGACATGGAACCTTTGGCTTCATTGTTAATATAGGCCAGGACTTCTTGAGAGTCAATCCAAAAGAACTCTATATCAATGTGTATCCCAAGCTCTGCTTTTAACATACTGCTTATTCTAGCTGAGGTGACAGCAACAGAAAGCTCTAGTCGTGGGATGCTTGTAACCTTAGTAGGTGCAACTCTTGCTTTAGCCATAACAAGGCTACAATGCACTCATTACTGAGGTATCTAACATAAGAACACACCCCATGTCCTACATCACTAGCATCGCAAAAGTGATGCAGTTCCACCCTCACAACATCTGTTAGGTCCGGTAGGTGGTAAGATCTAGGAACTGTATCACATTTGAAGTTTTCCAAATCATCTTTCCAGGCCTCCCACCGTGAGCGCAAGTTTTCTGGAAGGAGTTCATCCCACTTGACACCACGGCGGCACAACTCCTTTAGGATACTTTTCCTCTTAAGGTGAAAGGAGCCACAAACCCTAGAGGATCATACAAAGAAGAGATGACAGACAGTGCATTCCGACGAGTAGGAGGTTGTTTCTTGGTGCTTATATTGAAACAGAAGGTGTCATTCTTCATTGACCACTGAATACCAAGCGCATGACTTTGAGAAGTTTCACCAGTATTAAAATCGAGTGATTCATTGGTGTCAGCTCTTTCCGATGGAGCAAGATGGGAGAGTGCCTCACTTTGGTTAGAGCTGAACTTATGAAGACGCAACCCTGCTGGTCTACAAAGTGCTTAGGTTTTGGTTATGAGTTCTTGTGCTTCTTTGACTGATGAAACACTGGTTTGACCGTCGTCTACATAAAT